GCACAGCGCACCGTGGCTAGGGAGTCGATGTGCAGGCCACCTGCGATCTTGTCCGTCAGCGTTTTGACTTCGTCGTCCTCCCCGTCACGTGGTAGCCGTTCGGGTGCTTGATCGAGTGGGACCACCCCTATGCCGCTGCCTGGAAGCGGCGATTGGGGTCGTACACGACCACCGCGCAGCCAGCGGTACGCAAGGCTGCGAACGCCTGGTCCATGCTTCAGCCGTCCGCGAGGACGTAGGAGCCAGGCTCAAGGCACGGGCCGCGCTGGTGCCATGAAGTCGTGCTGCGAGACTCCATGTCTCGCGTCCTCCTGGGCTTCGTGATGATGCTCCTCCCCGTTGGGGAACAGGCCGCGCGCGAGGAGCTCGGTGAACGGGAGGGCCCCCGCTGCACCGCCTCCGCTGCCTTCTGGAGGTCGCGGTCGAGTGTGTCTCGCCTCTGGGCCTCGTGAGTGGCGCGTTGGAAGCGTCTGTGGAAGAGCGAGCCGTCCTCGCAGGTCAGAGGCGGAACATGTAGCCATACCGCTACTCTTCCCTCGCGTTCGCCTCTTCGGGCCTCCTGGGAGGTCCTCGTCTGGGGAGTAGTGGTATCGGCACCTTTCGGTTTCCCCAGATGGCCCCCCCTTGCCTGGAGACTGGAAGAGGCCCCTCAGGGCTCGCTGGTTGTGCTTGCCCCATGCCCGAGTCTTGTGGCTGAGAAGCCCCTATGACTGGTTTCCCACTCGGTGCCTCTTCCCAGCCCTACATACTGGGGCTTTGGCGAGCAACCTCCTCCAAGCCGAGTGCTCTCCTGCATGCGAGCGTGACCAGCTTGCCGACGAAGGCTGGCGGCTACCTGCGCACGTCGAGCTCGGTCGTCGCATTCGCATCGGGGACAAGGCATGCGTCTTCTCCAACAAAGCCCCATGTGATCCGCGTGAGGGTGAGGACCAGCGGAGAGATGGGATCCTTGCCGCTCCTCCATGGGTGTACTGCCTGCGCTGTGGCCAAGCCTTTTCGGGTGCAAGCGCGAGCCACTCCGTCAGGTGGTATCACAGACCGTGCCATCTCGACGTACGCTGTGATGGCCCTCGTGGTGGTGATGGTCGAAGGGCCGCGGCGCCAGCCCTCCCGCTGCGATTAGCTGACTACACCCACTGCCGCCCCCCTAGGCCGTCGGCCTCGGAGTTTGGCGGCCCCGACTCGGAGCCGTCGCAGTCGGCCATCAGGCACTCCCACGATTGATGAGCCCCCATGTCGCCTTCGCCGCGGGTCCTGCGCGCAAGGCGCGATCAACAGGGGCTCCCGGTTGGAAGAGGCGGGTGAGCTTGCGGCCTTGGGCTCTGGTCCTGGCCTTCCTGTCGGCAGAGACTGCCGCGCGTCGGTCGGGTCCCGCCGTCGCGTCACCTCCAAGGTCCCTGTGGCTGTCCACCAAGTCCTTGCACTTGAGGCCCCACCCTGGCTGGTGCCTCAGCTTCGTCTTGGGCAGCGTGGAGGTTGCCAGCGCCTTGATCTTCTTTCGGCTGACTGACAGGTTGGTCTCCGCCACCTGCTCGTCGAACGCCGTGCAGGCCGCGCCGAGTTGCCGAGCCACTGGCTGTGCTGTGCTGCGCTGTGCTGTGCTGTGCCTGGTGCCATTTACTGTGCTGTGCCGCGCCTCTTTGTATTGGAGTTGCGCGGTGCTTGATTCTATAAATGGCCGCCAGGATCAGGGGGAACTGCATCCACAACGCTTCACTGCGTCCTCCCCTCTCTCTCCGCGCTCCCGTGATGCAGTGTTGGATCTACAGCTGTGCCCGTTTGGGCCATGCGGTTTGGGGCCGTGGAGCAACGCTTGCCACAGCGGCCCAACACGTTTTTGGGGCAATGCCGTAGCAGTCACCTTTTGGTCTCTTCTCTGCGCTTCCCTCGAGCCAGGAGCTTCTCCAAGTTTCTGTGTTCATTGCCCTGTCGTCGAGTTCGTTTGGGTGTGCTTCTGTTCTTGGATAGCCCTCCTGGGAGACAGCGGATTCCTCCTTCGCCTCCTCTTTGATGTTGAAAGAGGTGTCGAACCACTGAGCTGATCGAGCCGACCACGCGGCCCAACACGTCGTCCTCCGCATTCGGTGCGCGCGCCGCTGGGGCCGCATGCGCCGCTGCCCCTCGTGCTGAGAGCAGCAAGAGCTTGGCAAGCGCCGTGGGGCAGGAGCACCAGCCACCGCCGTGCCGCTGGCCGGCGTGGCGTTGCCAAGGGCGTGGCCGCCTGGCTCCCCTCGGCGCCAGGCGGGCGCAGCGGAGGGCTCTGGGCAAGTCCTCGTCAGAGCCCAGGGGCGTCCGCCGCGCTGCGCTGCTCGCCGTGCCCGATGTGCTCGCAGTGCTTGGCCAAGTCCTCGCAGAACAAGGCCGCCTCCACGCTGATGTCCTCGGCGTGGGCCACAACGCACTGTGCAGCCAGGCTGCTGTGTCGCAGCCCTTGGCCGAAGATGTGCCCGAGAACGCCGAATGATCACCAGAGCGCTCCCAGCGGACACGCTTCTTCTGGCAGATCCGAGACCACAGTATCGCCAGGAACGGCATGGGACCTTAGGCCTCTGTGCCCCGTCTGGTTTGGGAAGGAACGCGCTGATACAGCTCGCCGCAGGCGAGAGCCCTCTCCCATGCGTTGGGGTGTCCGCCAGCCCTTGCGGCATCTCGTCGCCTACTTCTGGCAGGGGCCCGGGGTGGAAGTTGTCCCAGCCCAACCCCGTGTTCTGGCCGACCAGCTGCGCCGCCGCCTTCATCTGCTCGGTGGCGATCGTCGGGAGCCTCCACGCGGCCTGCCAGCTCAGCGGATGCTGGCGACCCTCACCGTTCGGATGGCACCAGCTGGGGGGCCCAGTCTTCGAGGACGGGGCTGAGCGCCGCTTGACCCACCAGTCCCGTAGGCTGCTCGGTGTTGGGCCCGAGGAGGGCAGCAGGCTCCCTGTGGACCTTCTGGATCACCCCGTGCGCCGCCGAGCCTGCCCTCTGGAAGGCCTCCTGGGTGTACCCCTTCCACCTCCTCTTGCTCTCCTGGATGTCCGCCCTGGTCTTCTGCTCGATGATGGCCTGCGGCATGCCCGAGCACGTGGACCCAGTGGCCGCCTGATGGGTGAGCTCGTCCCACAGCGCTTGCATCTGGCCAGCAGGAGGAGGATGATGAGGAGGAGGATCAAGAGGAGGAGGAGGAGGAGGAGGAGGAGGAGGAGGAGGAGGAGGAGGAGGAGGAGGAGGAGGAGGAGGAGGAGGAGGAGGAGGAGGAGGAGGAGGAGGAGGAGGAGGAGGAGGAGGAGGAGGAGGAGGAGGAGGAGGAGAGGAGGGGCATGAGGAGGAGGAGGAGGAGGAGAGGCCGAGGGAGCGGATGATGAGCCGGCGGTGGACAACAACCCAAACGTTGTTAGTATGCCTGTTCGCTTGCCTCGTTTTGTTGTGTATCTTGTGGTCTTCGGTCCATCCCGCCGCTGCGGGTCGGGGACCTGAGGCCTCTCAGAGGCCTCTGGAGGTCTCGTAGGAGGCTGCTTGGGTGCCTCTTGAAGGCCTCCATGGGGGCACTCTAGGGGCCTCCTGGGGGCCTCTTTGGGGCCTCGAGGGTCTTCTTGGGTGATCCTCTAGGGCCTGCTGGTGGTCTCGGGGGCCATCTCTGCGGGGAGGGCTCCGAGTGTCTCGGGGGCTTCCTTGGGGCGCCGTGCCCGCTCGCAAGACCGAACAGCTGAGAATGCGAGCATGGTACACGACGCAATGTTTTGCAGTGGTTTGGGCCTCTGGGGCGGCCCCCAGGGCCTCCAAGACAGCCCAAGAGGCACGAGGGCTTCAGCGCGGACCCTTGGGGACATTCTACGGCATGTTGGACGGCGATGCCGCCACCCACGCTCCTGAGGCCTCTGGAAAGGGCACGCGGGAGCAACAGAAGAGCGCCAAGGTAGCGCCGAGCAGCGTGCGGAAATTCCGTCAGCGTTGGGGGCGTGGGCCCCTGAAATGGCATGGTCAAGACCCCGTGACGACTTCAAGGGGCCTGACCCAGACCCCCGACGTCGTGAACTTCTATCTCATGACGTGGACCCCCAGAGAACTGGTTCCCAGGGACTGGCTCTTCATCGCATCGCATCGCATCGCCGGCGGCACGGAAGCTGTCCGAACTATCACGGGGCGCCTTCACATCTCGTGGCAAGCATCTGGACGCCTGCGGTTGAACGCTGTTGCTTTCCATCCCAAGTCGCCTTCTGACGGCCCCGAGGCCCCGCAGCGGCTCCCAGAGGCCGACAGTAGGAACAAAAACGCCTTTCCGCGCCGCGATGGGGGCCTGGGGAGAGCACCCTCCGCGGCAGGGGGGGCGGACACGCGGTGGAGGAGGAGGAGGAGGAGGAGGAGGAGGAGGAGGAGGAGGAGGAGGAAGAGGAGGATGAGGAGGAGGAGGAGGAGGAGGAGGAGGAGGAGGAGGAGGAGAAACGACACGTGTGAAGAGTAGTATGCCTCCGAGCGGAGGCGTGGCCAAAATATCCCGCCAGGCGCTCGCATGCAGTCAGCGTATATCTGAAGCCCCTTTGCGCCACTAGGATATGTCCATATCCACTGCCGCGGGGTCGTACCCCAAGGAATCGAGGAGCGATGGATATGGATATCTGGCCGCCCATGCGGGCGGACAGATATCCATATCCACCACTCCTGGAGATCCCAGGGCACGACTCCGAAGCGGTGGATATGGATATGTTCTGGCGGTGGACCCTTTTGGCCCAGGGAGAGACAAAACATTTAGATGGTAGCGGAGCCGTGAGGCTCCACGCGACCTTTCATAGTGGGCTCACGGCATATTTCTTTCAGAATCAATGGAGCAGTTGATCCAGCAACTGCAGGATCAGGTGGCAGCGTTGCAACAGCGCCAGAAGCCGATGGAAGAGATGGTCCAACAGTTGCAGCGACAGCGACAAGAGATTGACAGACTTCAGGCTGCAGAACGGGAGGCGCTGCAGCAACAGCAGCAACAAGATGTACGTATGGATGAGCTGAGAGCTGTAGCCAGAGGCAGCATGAAGACGGTCATCGACACGAAGAGCCTCGGCAAGCCGAAGGACTTCGACAACAAAGAAGAACACTGGCAGGAGTTTGCGTTCAAGTACGAGAACTGGATCAGCGGCATCGAGCCGCAGGCGCGGCTATACCTCAGATGGGCAGAGCTGAGTGGCGAGGAGATACGTAGATGATCTCGACTTGGATGACCCGCCGGACGCGCTCAGCCAGGATGAGATCAGGCACCTCGGGAGGCAGGTGTACGTGTCCCTCGCTCAGATGCTCACAGGTGAATCGCTGGATGTCTTGAGGAATGGCCGTGAAGATAATGGTCTTGATGCGTGGCGTCGGCTATGGAGGCGATGGGATCCGAAGACGGTCGGACGCAACAGGGCTGCCTACCTCAAGATAGCTCAGCCAGGCACGGCGAAGACGGTGGAGCAGGCGTCCAAGATGCTGGAGCAATGGGAAGCGCAGATCCGCGACTACGAGTCCAAGAGGAAGAAGGTGGTTGATGAAGAGCTCAAGTGTGCAGTGTTGACGGAGATGATGCCCAAGGAGCTGCGACTTCACCTCCAGCTCAATGCGAGGACGCTCACGGACTACACCACAATCAGGCAGGAGGTGCTGTCCTTCCTCGAGGCCAGGAAGAGCCACACCAGTGACGGTTCGGCACCGATGGATGTTGATGCCCTGCAGCGGAAGGGCAAAGACAAGAGCGGCAAGGGTAAGGACAGCAAAGGCAAGGGCAAGGACACGGACAACTCCCACTCCAAGAAGAACGTGACGTGCTGGAACTGCGGCAAGACAGGACACACGAGCAGTGAGTGCTGGACGAAGCCGCAGACAGATCATGACAAGAACAAGGCCCGTGGCAAGGGCAAGGACAACAAAGGCAAGGGCAAGGACTCCAAGGGCGACAAGGGCAAAGATGGCGGAAAGGGGAACTCCCAGAACCACTTCCGGGGCTACTGCGACAAGTGCGGGAAGTGGGGTCATCGCGGACAAGATTGCTGGGGTTCCAAGACGACGAACTCGCTGGAGACGAGCAACCAGCCGGAGCCTGAGATCGGCGGCTTCGACATCTGCGCGCTCGACGGTTACGGCAAGGACGAGACGGACAAGGACATGCAGCCCTACAAGGAGGTGAACAGCTACATGGTCGAGGCGACGGTGGACTCAGGTGCGGCGGTCAGCGTGATGCCGGTGAGCACGTGCCAGGAGTACAAGGTGAGGCCGAGCGAGGCATCACGCAGAGGGGTCCGCTATCGGGCAGCTGGGGGACAGATGATCTCGGACCTCGGCACGCGCGTGGTGAACATCCACGCGGGAGGTCGCAACGGCGGCAAGGCTCGAGTGACGTGCTCGGTGGCCGAGGTGAAGAAGGTGCTCCTGAGCGTGGCCAAGATGGTGGACCAGGGCAACAGGGTGACGTTCGGCCCGAACGAGGGCGACAGCTACATCGAGAACATTGCCACCGGGGTCACTATCCCCATCAGGCGTAAGAACGACGTGTATGTGATGGACATGGAGATCCAGCCGCCGAAGCAGCACGAGAAGTCGATGATGCTCGCAGCGGTGGACTCGGCCCAGTCGCTGGGGGGCAGGAGGCAGGCCGCGAGGCCGTAAGTCCGCCTAGCAGTGAGGACGAGGAGGCTCGGCGCTGGGTGACGCCCGTATTCGAGGGCGGCAGCAGCGGGTCGGGCCAGGCAGCGGCGCCGGGCGAGCCCGGGCCAGGAGCTGAAGATGGCCGCGTCATCGAGATGGAGGCTGACGAGGAGGCAGCGGTGCCCGCGCGGGTCGTCAAGGACCCGGAGGCGCCGACCAAGGAGGAGATCGAGCAGCACAACATCGGGCACATACCGTACAGGAGCTGGCGCAGGCACTGCGTGATGGGCCGAGGCAGGAGCGCGGCTCACCGCAAGCTCGAGGCGGAGAAGTCGCACGTGATCCCCACGGTCGGTCACGACTATGGCTTCCTCGGGCGAGATGATAATCCTGTGATGCCGATGTTGGTGGGCAAGAGCTTTCGAACGTTGTGGCTTGGGGCCGCGATCGTCCCATGCAAGGGCGACGCGAGCGAGTGCAGTGTTGGGGTCATGAGTGGCCAGATCAAGCAGATGGGACATTCCAACTTCATCCACAAGACGGATCAGGAGTCAGCGTTGAAGGCGCTGAAGGAGTCAGCGCACCAGGCGCTGGGAACTGCGTACAGCGTGGTCTCGGAGGAGGCCCCGCGCGGCAGCAAGGAGTCGAACGGTGCGATGGAGAACGGCGTGATGCAGATCGAGGGCCTGGTGCGGACCCACAGGGACGCGCTGGAGATCTCGCAGGGCATCAAGGTCGAGCACGAGTCCGCGCTCGTGCCCTGGCTGGTGCTGTGGGCGGCGTACGTCTACAACCGGTTCTCCAGGGGCGTCAACGGGAAGACACCATATGAGAAGACGAAGGGCAAGCCGTTTCGACGTGAGCTACTGCCTTTCGGTGAGCGCATCTACTGGCTCCCAGCGGACAAGAGCAAGAAGCGTGGCGATGCGCAGGGCATGAACAAGTTAGAGAACAAGTGGCGGACGGGACACTTCCTGGGCGTCCAGGAGGGCAGCGACGAGGCGTTCGTCAGTGATGAGATTGGCGGCGTCTACCGAGCCAGGAGCATGAAGAGGCTCCCGGAGGTGATGCGCAAGTCGCCGGAGACGATCCTCAAGGTCAAGGGCGCGCCCTGGAATCGGACGCCAGAGGATGTGCCTGCGCCTCAAGTACGAGTGGAAGTCGGACGACCAGGTCCACCACCAGACGTGCCGCCGGTGATCGAGACGCCACCGGAGCCAGCAGTGGTTCGGCGGAGAACGTACGTCACCAAGGCCATGATTGAGAAGTACGGTTTCACGCCAGGATGTCGAGGGTGTGAGGCTTTACTCATCCACGGCACGACGCACGTGAGTGGAGGTGGAGTTGCGCACTCGGACTTTTGCCGAGCGCGTATCGAGGCGGCAGGGCAGCGAGCGCCTGCTGCTCCTGCAGCAGCGCCCAGCCCGCCGGCAGTTGCGGAGGGGCCAGCGGGAGGTGCCGCCCAGGCCCCGGAGGCAGCCGAGAGATCACCTATGGAGGTGGAGGCGCAGCTGGCACCGCAGGGCAGCAGCGCAGGACCCGCGCAAGGATCCCAGATGGAGGATGTGCGGGGGAGTCAGAAGCGCAGGGCTAGCGAGGAGTTGCAGCAGGATGAGGTCAGGCAGTACGAGGTGGTCGAGGAGACCAGCGTGCCGACGGCCAGGATGGACTACCTGGAGGGTGGCAGGATGCTGAGCGCGCTGGGCTACGACGTCCACGTGAGCGAGGTGTACAACCCGGAGAGGTTCAAGGAGGAGGCCGAGGCGATGGGTCTTGCCTTCGGCCATGCCTTCGACCTGCAGCTCCAGAGGCCGGACGGAGGAGGTCCGTGGGACTTCTCCCGGTCGCAGGACAGGGTGCTGGCGAAGGAGATCCTGAAGGTCAAGAGACCGCTCCTGCTGATCGGGAGCCCGATGTGCAGGATGTTCAGCTCGCTGATGACCTTCAACCGGAAGCACTACAGCAGCGAGGACTGGGAGGCGATGAAGCAGGACGCGATCAATCATCTCGAGTTCGTGTGCGAGCTCTATCAGTGGCAGGACGACGCTGGGCGGTTCTGGCTCCACGAGCATCCAGACCGTGCGACGTCATGGCAGGAAGAGTGCGTGAAGGAGCTGCTGAGTAGAGAGAGTACCAAGAGGGTGCGCAGCGACATGTGCCAGTTCGGCATGACGGCGCTCGACGTCGACGGCAGCTGGCAGCTGGTGGTCAAGCCTACTGGGTGGGCCACCAATTCCGACCAGATAGCGAGGCAGCTGGCAAGGAGGTGTACGAACAAGGAGGAGCCTCCGTGGCGACAGCACCGCCACGTTGAGCTGGTCGGGAACAAGGCAAAGGGCTGCGAGGTTTACCCGATTGAGTTGGTTCGGGCGATCCTTCATGGGTTGGTGGACGAGCTGAAAGACCGAGGTGAGTGGCACGAGGGCGAGCTCGGGACGGTTGATGCTGAAGAGAAGGAGCCGGAGAGGGGCGACCACCAGGAGCTCTGGGCGCCCAGCAGCGGGCGCGACGTCTACGACTCGCTCACGGGTCTGAAGTTGGACCCGAGTCTGGTGGCGGAGGCCAAGCAGGACGAGCTCAAGGAGATCAGGGCGTTCGGGGTCTACGAGAAGGTTCCCATCCAGCAGTGCTGGGACGAGGCGGGAGCGGCACCCATCGGCGTCACGTGGGTGTGCGTCAACAAGGGCGACGATGAGAAGCCTGATGTGCGCGCTAGGCTGTGCGCGCAGGAGATCAAAGCGAAGGACCCGGCACGAGAGGGAGTCTTCGCCCCGACGCCGCCGATCGAGTGCCTCAAGCTGTTGTTCAGCCTGGGCATGACAGAGGAAGAGAACAAGTGCGAGCCTGACGCGTTCATGGTGCTGGACGCGACCAGGGCTCATTTCCACAGCCCGGCGACCCGACGGGTCTTTGTGAGGCTGTGTGACGAGGACTACCGGGAGGGCTACTGTGCCCTACTCCGGAAGAGCATGTACGGGACCAGGGATGCGGCGGCGACTTGGGAGCTGTTCTCATCTACAGTTGCTCGGGATCACGCCGGCCTCAAGCCTGGAGCGGCGAACCCGTGCCTGTTCTGGAACGAGAAGCTTCGCGTGAGGTGCTTGAAGCACGGGGACGACTTCGTGCTGGGAGGCCAGCGCGAGTCGATCAGACAGGTCAAGGAGGAGCTAGGCAAGCATATCAAGCTCAAGGAGAAGGGCGTGCTCGGGTTGCATCCAGAGCTGGGAGACACGCAGGAGGTTCGAATCCTGAACCGGCTCGTGTCCATGAAGATGAAGGAGGGCAAGCAGGTGCTCGCCGTGGAGGCGGACCCGAGGCACGCGGCGCTGATCATCGAGGAGCTGGGGCTGAAAGGTTCCAGCAAGAGTCGGTCGACGCCAGGAGAGAAGGTGTCGGGTGTGCCAGACCTGACGCCGATCAAAGACGAGATCGAAGTGCGGAGGTTCCGATCGTTGACCATGCGGGCCCACTACTTGGCGGAGGACAGGTACGACCTGAAGTTTGCGAGCAAGGAGTTGGCGCGCGAGATGAAGTGCCCCACGGTGTCGGGCATGGCCAAGCTCAAGCACCTTGGCCGGTTCCTGCTCAAGAAGCCCAGGTGTGTGCAGGAGTTCGCATGGCAGGATCGACAGCACAAACTGGTGACATACTGCGATTCCGACTGGGGCGGATGTGTGGTCACCAGGAAGAGTACTACGAGTGGATGTGTGCAGCACGGCAGCCACAGTATCAAGCAGTATAGTTCTACGCAGCAGACCCCATCATTGAGTAGCGGTGAGGGCGGCTGCGGTGTGTCTTGGAGCTCAGGCCTATGCCGCAGATCTGGGTGCTACGCTGGTGGCCGCTATCGGCACAGACTCCAGCGCGGCGCTGGGCATGATGAAGAGGTCAGGGCTAGGTCGAGTCAGACATATCGCGGTGCCACTACTGTGGATCCAAGATGCCGTCCGTGAGTCTCGCATCAGAGTCTTCAAGGAGAAGGGCCTGGAGAACGTCGCGAACGCCGGCACGAAGTACCTGAGCGGGCCGAAGCTGGAGGCGATCATGGAGCGCCTCGGCTACGTGTACCAGGCCGGAGAGAGTGCTCTGGGTCTCCGCGTGCAGCGGGGAGTAGGGGTTTGAGCAGGCTGCGGCGTGCAGTGCGCGGGTGCGGGCACGGTGAATGACCGACGCCCTACCCGCGAGGAGGAGTGTGAAGAGTAGTATGCCTCCGAGCGGAGGCGTGGCCAAAATATCCCGCCAGGCGCTCGCATGCAGTCAGCGTATATTTGAAGCCCCTTTTGGCCCAGGGAGAGACAAAACATTTGAACACGAAGGCGCAGCCGAGGACGAGAGCGACATCGGCCACGCGCAACGGCGGGTTAGGGGGAGACGGGAAAGGCTTCTCGGACACACCCCTGCTTCTCATAAGGCGCGGGCCTTATCCATAGACGTAGGGCAGCCGCCTTCTGAGAAGCAGCCTCCTGCCTAAAGGCTTCCCCCCTCCCCCAACCGACTTGTGCGCGCCGCCAAACGACGACGCAGCCAAGGAGGGGGGTGACGATGACGAAACTGAGGGGAGGACGAGGGCGACGAGACGGGGCCCAAAGACGTACACCACCACCACCACCTCCCCCACCCCCTCCCTCTCCCAGGAAAGAGGAGGGTAGAGGAGGGAGGAGGAATGTAGGTGGTGGTGGTGGTGGTGTATATTCTTGAGGCCCGCAGACGACGACGAATCCGAGGACCAGCTGCGGCTTCCGCCGCTCGCCCGCCCCCCCCCCCGCGCAGCGCCTCTCGCTGCAGGGCGCCTGCAGCGAGAAGCCCAGACCCCCCGAGTCGTGAACAATAAACACATCTGGAGGTTGTGTGTGTGTGTGTTTTCGGCCTCTGGGGGCCCTTACCGGGCCTCGGGACCGTTGAAAAACGACTCAGGATGAGAAGACGGTCTCGGGGAATGAGTCGAGGCCTTTGGGGGTGGACGCTGTGAACAAATCATGATGTCGGGGGTCTGGGGAGATCCGGGCGCGGATTTCTTGGACTCGCGCTGGGCCCCCACCCCCCCGGCGGCGCCTCCAGCGCCGCCCCTGGCGCGTTCCGCGCGCCAGGGGAGGTGTGTCCAGCGCGGATCCAAGAAGTCCGCGCGGAGCGCCACAAGTTTCTGTTTACGCTGTTTTTCTTTTAGGGGGGAGGCGGGCTGCGCGAGGGATCGGAGGTGACCGTTCCCCGCGCACCGCCCCCGACGTCCGTCCGCCGATTTTTTTTGGCGCTGGTGCGAATTGATCTTGGTCATGTCGTGCTGTTTTGTTTAGTTGTTTTCCGCTATGTTTATGTGATGGATCGATATCCTTCTAGTTTGTATCATTAATATGATTACCATTCTGATTCTCATTAAATTGAGGATTCAGATGATGGTGATACTTAGTTGTATTATGGTTCGTGCCTTTATTCTTGCTATATGTTGTCATACCATCTTTAAAGCGTTCTTCTCATTATCCTTGCTTTTATACATGCTATTATGACTATTCGTATTCTTAGTTCAAATATTGTTGGTAGTCTTAGGATCCTTATTTGTTTTATGGTAAACATGGTTTAGTACTAGTCGTCGTAGTATCATTAGTATTCGTATCATTTTGTTGTTGCTGTTGTTTTTGGTGTTTGTTGCTGTTGTTGTTCTTTGTGTGGTTGTGGTTGTTAGTATTCTCTCTATTATCCTCAAGTTGCTTCGTATTCTTAGTATTAGGATTACTGGTAGTATTCTAATTCTTGTTCTCATATATACACATTGATTTTCTGACTGTCGCCGTACTACTGCATGTTCACAAGTGGGCCCTCTTCGGGGTCTTCCACGGCCGCTGTCAGGCTGCCCTGGGGGCCTCTTGGGCCTTCTTGAGGCCCTGTGGTGCTCAGGGTAATATAGGGGGCCTCTTGGGGCTGTTATGGGGCGGTCTGGGGGCACAGCTGGACTGTCTTGGGGCCCTCTCGGGTCGTCTGTGTCCCCGTTGGAAGCCCTCTTGGGCCGTCTTGGGGCCGCCTTGGGCCCCTCTTGGGCCGTCCTGGGCTCGTCTTGGGGCCCTCTTGGGTGCCTAGGGCCATCTTGGAGCGATCTCGGGGGGCTCTGAGGCCGTCTCGAGCGCCCTGGAGACCGAAACGCCAAGTATGCGAGCATGGCACCGAAACTTGAGGACCAATGCATTTTGCCTCCCAGGGCCCTCTTGGGAGTCGTTTCTGGGCTCGATGGACCATCTGGGGAGCTGGTTGGGCCGTCGAGTGGCCATGTTGGGCCCATCTTGGGCCATGTTGGGCCCATCGTGGCCGTCTTGGGGTGCTCGTATGTAATCGTATGCTATGTGTATATGTGCATGTGCATGGCTATGTGTAGATGCATAAGTATTTATAGATACCTGCATACGTATGTTTGCATGTATATGTATATGTATGTAAACATATGTATGTATATACATATATATGTGTGTGTACGTACATATGCATATGCATATGTACATGTACATTTACATCTATGTGTATAGGTTCATGACACTGTTGCTGTCTAAATATATGTATAGGTGTCCGTGCGTGTGGATGCGCATATGTTGTATGTATATGTATACGTTGATGTACATGTACCCGTACATGCATATCTTTACACATATGTCATGCATATGTATGTGCGTACCTGTGTATATGAACGTGTATGTACACGTCTATGTAACATGTATACGCGTATTCATTTGTATATTCATATGTTGATATACGTGTACGTCGTCATGTATCTGTAAATGTTTGTACACATGTATATGTATATGTATGTATATGCATGTGCACATGCAT